GGGAGCGCCCAGGGGCGGGGTTGGATGAGCAGGAGGGGAGGCAGCAGGCGCGGAGCACCAAACCCTAGCGCATCCCGCGGGTGAGCCTCGGGGGGGGTTCGCGCACCCGCGCGTGGCAGCTGTTGCGGTGCGGGTGCCGAATCGCTGGGGGAGAGCGGGCATCCGCATCCCCGCGATGCCGCCAAACACGCTTCCCTCCGACAGCTCTGTTCCCCCTGTCCCCCCACCTCGTCCAGGCTGATGGGCCTCTTGCCCTGCTCAGGCACCAGCTCGAGGCAGTCGCGCAGCACGTGCACGGGCGCCTGGGAGGGCGAGGAGCAGCCAGGGCAGGCGTCAGCGGGGGGCCGAGGGCGGAGCAACAGGCGGCGCGTTGGGTGCGCTGCAGCCGTATTGCCTGGAGCGAAGACATCGCAGCCCCAGGCGCCGGCGGCACGCAGTCGCCGGTAAGATGCAACGTTCTGCGCCAGGTGTGCCCCCGCGCACTCTCCCAATGGATTCTGTCAACTTTGCGCCCGTCCTGGCGGGCTCTCCGCGCGCCGCAGCCCCCCCTCCCCCCCAAAAAAAACACGACCACGCACCTCCTTGAAGTGCTGCTGGTAGGCGTCGTAGCTGGAGGGGTCCGCGGCGGAGCCGCTGCTCAGGCCGATGGACTTGTGCAGCAGCTTGGCCATTGCCTGGTTGTTGGCGTGGTACTCGCCCCTGGGGAAGGGGGGGTCACGTTTTGGGGGTTGGTTGAGCACAGTGTTCAGCTGGTGTCACAGGGTGTGTGGTTGGTCGGGGCTCCCGTGGCCTCGTAGTTCGGGGGCTGTCGCTTTCGCGCCTTGCCCTGCCGCTGAGCAGTGGTTGCAAGAGATGGCTCCAACGCATCAGCCCGCACCACAGGAACCCTGGCGGGGCGCAGATCGAAAGCCTGAGATGGCCGTGTGTACAGAGGGGGTTGTTTGTCCCCGGGCGCGTGCTCTCACTTGTTGCGCGACTGGATGAAGCCGTAGTCATCCAGCTTGGTCATCGCCTGCTGGGGGAAGCCCTGGGGTCGCGTATGGAAACGTGTGGTGGACAGGGTAGTGTGTGTCAGGGCGAAGCAGGTGGGGGTGACCTCAAGGCGTGGATGCCTGTGGGTGCGCGCCTTGTGAACATCATCTCCGCCGGCCCGACCAGCGCGACTTCAGACGGGATGGCCGTGGTGATGTGTGGAGGTGATGTGTGATCACTGCCCCCACCAAGTTACAGGACCCAGCGGCACCGGGGCCCGCCCCGGGCCTCAAAACACGCGCCCCTCACTAACCCCACTACACCCTCGCACACATATCCGCAACGTCTTGTACAATCCAAAACACCCCGCATCCATAGCAACCCACGACCGTGCTCGCACGCACGCGTTCCTCCCCCCTGCACACCCACGCCGCCCCCCCTCACACACGCTCTTTGGACCCCCCACCTTGACCCAGGCGCTCTCCACCTCGCGCTGCAGGTCCCCCATGTCCAGCCCCCCAATACGGCTGACCGACCCCGTGAACGCCACGTCCACGATGGAGCGCCCCAGGCCATAAGCCTCGAAGATCTGGGCCCCGTGGTAGCAGGACAGCAGGGAGATGCCCATCTTGGACATGATCTTCAGGATGCCCTTCTCCAGGGACTTCTTCAGGTTGGCCTGCGCCGCCTCGACGCTCACGTCCGGCACCTTGCCGGTCTTGATGAGCGACTGGGTGCGGCTCGAGGTGCGCCACTGGCGCGCGGTCTCGTAGGCGAGGTAGGGGCAGATGGCGTGGGCGCCGTAGCCGATGAGGACGGCGGCGTGGTGCGTGCTG